TGTGCCTAATTTTACCGCACCCTGTCCTCAACTTCCAGGCATGATTCAAAAGCGTTTATATGGCCTTGTGGGTGTGTTATATAGGAATAAAGTGTCGTTGCCGACACTGGAGTTTGAACCTAGATCGCCAGTGGGCAAACACAGGCGATCCAAATTTGAATAAGTAGATCAGGTATTTGCAAAGGAAATATATATATGGGAATTAGCGTGGCGTCTAATGCATGACAATTTCTATTCTATCGTCTATTACTCTAAGTATCACTCTTTCTATTCTATCCTCCATTACTCTACAAATCACTATTTCTATTCCATCCTCTATTACTCTATGGATCCCTATGTCTAGTCTATCCTCTATTACTCTACGGGTCAGTATTTCAAGTCTATCCTCTATTACTCTACGTATCAGTGTTTCTATTCTATCCTCTATTACTATACGGATCACCCTTTCTATTTTATCCTCTATTACTTTACGGATCAGTATTTCTATTCTATCCTCTATTACGCTACAGATCACCATTTCTATTCTATCCTCTATTACTTTACGGATCAGTATTTCTATTCTATCCTCTATTACTCTACGGGTCAGTATATCTGTTCTATTCTCTATTACTCTACGGATCATCATTTCTATTCTATCCTTTATTACTATACGGAACACTATTTCTATTCTATCCTCTATTACTCTACGGATCACTATTTCTAGTCTATCCTCTATTACTCTACGGATCACTGTTTCTATTCTATCCTCTATTACTTTACGGATCACCCTTTCTATTCTATCCTCTATTACAATACAAATCACTCTTTCTATTCTATCCTCTATTACACTACGGATCACCATTTCTATTTTATCCTCTATTGCTCTAGGGATCACCATTTCTATTCTATACTTCATTGCTCTACGGATCGCTGTTTCTATTCTATTCTCTATTACTTTAGAGATCACCATTTCTATTCTATCCTCTATTACTCTACGGAACACTATTTCTATTCTATCCTCTATTACTCTACGGATCACTCTTTCTATTCTATCCTCCATTCCTCTACGAAACGCTATTCTCTAATTAGTAAGAAATTCCGTTCGCAATGTATCTTCCCACGAATCGCTACTTTCTGGAACAGACTATCAAGATCAGCCTTCCTTGATTACTATAATTCTAAGCTGTTTAAATCAAGCGTTAACCGGCATCTTTCATCTATATACTCTTAATCTATATTTCTTACCTGATCCTGTTACGTGAAACAAGATTAATCAGTAACACTCTACCTTGATGGTGCCATTTATTAGGGGAAGAATTGGAAAAGAAAGAACGAGTAAAAACACGGAGAAGAAGACATAGAAAGAATATAAGAAAAATAAAGTGAAAAGAAAAGGAAAAAAAAACAGAAAAGTACAAAAGTAGTAAAATAACAAATGATGCCTTCCAAAATTTAAGCAAATATAAAGAATCAGGAAAATTTCGTTAGAATCAGAGATTAGACTGCAACATAATATCTATCCTCCTATATGACAGGGGATGTTGAAAAATTATCCCGCAGATGAAAAAAAAAAACGTGAGGCAACATAAATGTAGTTCTACAGAAGGATACTGAGAATTCTATGGATGGTGCACCTTAGCAACGAAGAAGTCTGAAAGGAAAATTGAAACCAAAAAGAAAACTTATAATCAGAATCAGTGATACTCAACTTTGAGAGTTAATCTGTGATGCTGGCCTCCCGTATTCGAGGATACCTGCCTACTAAGGCGGCAAACCAATCCCTATTGCAGACGCTTGCTCAGGAGCATCTGTGTTTATTCAAAACCCATAGATTCCACATGTGGTTTATACTGTAACTATGCTGAGCAGACCTTAGTTACAGTTTCTGGGAAAGAGCGCGTTATCTAGTGTGATTAAGAATTTGAACAAGGCCAGCACTCTCAAGCGCTCGGCCATACTGACTTGTAACTTAGTGCTAGCACAGCTATTTATGGCACCCAAGTTTTCCACCTACCCAATGTCACTCATAAAGCTTGGGTCAACCCGAGGTATGATTTTCAGGCACTTTCTAAAGGATCAACCCCTCCCGTCCAATAACAACAGGAAGTCTCCTTCCTGACAAATCGACCATGGAAAGATTTGAACCCGGGTCTAATGGTCAGAATGCAAACGTTCTAACCACTTGGCCACGGACCTCTACCTGTGGTGCTATATGATCACGCGAAAGGTTAAGAAGTGAAGTCCATGGGGGTTTACAGAAAAGACAACTGTTAACCTTAGACATGAAGAGGTCAATATTCTAATAATTGGAAATATATCCTTTCTGGAGACTGTTTCACAAAGCAGCAGATTTTGGAAGAAGCTGTCTGAGTGGAACTTATTACTGATGGAATATGAAGCCGAACGGAATGATTTATCCGTTGTATGGCGGTCCCCAGTTGAAAGAGGTACTTAAGAATGGAGTTCGTTTGGCCATGGAAATAGCGTTATAGCAGCGAGAGTCTCGCGAGGTTTCGTCTGTTGGAAAACGGTTGGAAAAATCATCATCAACAGGGCTGTGTAGATGCTTTTGAACACTAACAAGACAGAAAATTCCATTTTTGGTATGATATTATAAAGATACATTATACTACCGGGAGTCAGCTAATCACAGGAGAGGGAAAAATGTATAGACCATTTTTCCAGCATTATATATTTATATGTACAGCCAGTTAGATCAGGGCTACAGGAATGTAGGACGCCCATGACTAAGATACAAAGACAAGCTGAAGAGCACCTTTCAGCTGTCAATATATCTCATAACACCCTCGATCGCTTAGCCTTGGAGGGGGTAGAATGGAGATCAACGTGTTTTTGTGGACTCAGCAGTTTTCAATCAGCTTGTCTAGTCTTCAAGAAGCGAGAGCAAGATCTAAAAGGTCAGCTAATGTAACAGTGATCTCATCCCACAATCCTTACCCTTGCTCCATATGCGGCCTCCTTTGTAAATCACTAGGGGGTTTTAAGTGCTGATTATCGCACAAAATTTAGTAACGGAATCAATTAAGCTGTCAGATCCTCATACGTCGAAACCGACGGGAGAGTCCATTATATATATATATATATATATATGTGAGTTTCATTTGAGTTCTGGAGAGATCTTGAGTACAAATAGACATTCAAGTGAAGGGGCCTTCTTGAGAGAAGACCCGTCATTTTAATAGGGGAAAGATCGGGGCCTGCGTAGTGTCGGTGGAATGTTATCAGTTTGGTAAACATTACAAAAATGGTATAACCTACAAAAGCAACAATATATTTTTCCATAAGTAAAACAACGTCATATTGTTGAGAAATATCTAAACTTTCACATTATCAATAGGTTAGAAATAGCCTCAAGGTAATAAATCCTGTAGGTCTTAGGACTATCCTTCTCCATGCCTAGTGGACTGGCGCTACAGAATCACGAATAATGAATTGTACCAAATAACACAAACCAGGAGGACTTTCGACAGCAGCAACTAAAATTCACATCACATGTAACTCTGAATAGAAAATAATGATATAATCCTGATGACTTTTCACAATACTTCATACAAAAGTAAAGAAGGAAGACTATTTTAATACTGGAAAGAGCCATAACAGTTACTGGAATTGAGAAATAAATTTCTTGAAAAATTGTTTTCAGAGATAGATTTTATAAATTTTGATCAATAGTGGCAATGGCGTCTTGGTCAATGAATGCCAAATGTTTCCTTATAAGGAAAATGCTAACGTTACCATTTACATAAGAGATGAAGATAAAAGATACAACAATTTGATTCCAGCCCAATGGCCATGGAGTATAGAAAAGCGTAACTTGAGATGCACTGGCAGTACAGTCAATGAATACGAAATTTTTCCTTGGAAAAAAAACAGCTAATGTTACCCTTAGATACCCTATATACCCTAGATACTATACTTTGATCATTGCCTGATATCCATGGTGTGAAGAAAAGTGTAACTCCATTTGCAATGGCTACTCAGTTAATTAACGCTAAGTGTTGCCTTAGAAAAAAATAGCTAGATATTAGCTTTAAGGATGACGAGAACAGATACTATACTTTGAACACAGCCCGATGTCCATGGTGTAAAAAATGTCTTGAGATGCACTGACAACTAGCCTTAGTATGAGCGATGGTGAGAACAGCTACTACAATTTGATCACAGTCCTATGGCCATAGTGTGAAGAAAAGCCTAACTTGGGATGAACGGGCAGCTCAGTCAATGAATACAAAATATTTCCTTAGAAAGAAAGAGCTAATGTTACCCTTAGCATGAGAGATTGTGAGAATAGATACTACACTTTGATCACAGCCCGATGTCTATAGTGTGAAGAAAAGCCTAACTTGAGATGAACTGGCAGCTCAGTCAATGAATACTAAATGTGTCCTTAGAAAGAAGAAGCTACTATTATCATTAGCATGGTAGATGGGGAGAACAGATACTACACTTTGATCACAGCCCTAGGGCCATGGCGTAAATAAAAGCGTAAATAAAGATTCACTGGTTGATCGATCACTGAATGAGCGAATGTTTCCATATAAGGGTAGTGTTTCCATTATCATTAGCATAAATATTACTGTTATTTTTCTATTCTTCAAAACAATATTTTCTGTGAATTAGGTCGATGATGAAAATTGTAGTCATCATAAATATAATAATTGAATGCACTGATGACGGCGACATACAGCATCAATTCGAATGATGATAGTGATTCCGGTATTAATGACATGCCACGTATGACAGACGGTGTTAATGATGCTGATGTTAGAATGTAGAAGAGAAGGCGATGACGATGATTTGTAACGACGATAATGAAAACGTCAATAGTAATAAAGATAATTTTCTCCCCTTTCCAATTATGAAGGAATGTTAAGAATTTTCTGAATAGCAGAAGGAAGAAATTATCACAGAAAATAAATTAATGAAAATCGATGTGATGGCATCCGTAGTAAACGGTTCTTGGCTTCATTTTTGTTATTTTTTCTCCTTCTTTCTTTCTTTCAAAGAAAGAAAGAAAGAAAGTTGCAAAAGATGAGAAAGAAAAGAACACAGTAAGAAAGAAAGGAAGAAAGAAAGAAAGAAAGAAAAAAGTAGCAGAAGATGAGAAAGAAAAGCACAGAGAAAGAAAGAAAGGAAGAAAGAAAGAAAGAAAGAAAGAAAGAAAGAAAGAAAGAAAGAAAAAAATTGGAAAAAGAAGAGAAAGAAAAGCACAGAGTAAGAAAGAAAGAAAGAAAGAAAGAAAAAAGTAGCAAAAGATGAGAAAGAAAAGCCCACAGAAAGAAAGGAAGAAAGAAAGAAAGAAAGAAAGAAAGAAAGAAGAAAGAAATAAAAAGTAGCAAAGAAGAGAAAGAAAAGCACAGAGTAAGAAAGAAAGAAAGAAAGAAAGAAAGAAAGAAAGAAAGAAAGAAAATAGTAGCAAAAGATGAGAAAGAAAAGCCCACAGAAAGAAAGAAGAAAGAAAGAAAGAAGGAAAGAAGAAAGAAATAAAAAGTAGCAAAGAAGAGAAAGAAAAGCACAGAGTAAGAAAGAAAGAAAGAAAGAAAGAAAGAAAATAGTAGCAAAAGATGAGAAAGAAAAGCCCACAGAAAGAAAGGAAGAAAGAAAGAAAGAAAGAAAGAAAGAAGAAAGAAATAAAAAGTAGCAAAGAAGAGAAAGAAAAGCACAGAGTAAGAAAGAAAGAAAGAAAGAAAGAAAGAAAGAAAAAAGTAGCAAAAGATGAGAAAGAAAAGCACAGAGAAAGAAAGAAAGAAAGAAAGAAAGGAAGAAAGAAAGAAAGAAAGAAAGAAAGAAAGAAAGAAAGAAAGAAAAAAGTAGCAAAAGAAGTGAAAGAAAAGCACAGAGAAAGAAAGAAAGAAAAAAAAAAGTAGCAAAAGATGAGAAAGAAAAGCACAGAGAAAGAAAGAAAGAAAGAAAGGAAGAAAGAAAGAAAGAAAGAAAGTAAGAAAGAAAGAAAGAAAGAAAGAAAGAAAAAAGTAGCAAAAGAAGTGAAAGAAAAGCACAGAGAAAGAAAGAAAGAAAGAAAGAAAGAAAGGAAGAAAGAAAGAAAGAAAGTAAGAAAGAAAGAAAGAAAGAAAGAAAGAAAGAAAAAAGTAGCAAAAGAAGTGAAAGAAAAGCACAGAGAAAGAAAGAAAGAAAGAAAGAAAGAAAATAGTAGCAAAAGATGAGAAAGAAAAGCCCACAGAAAGAAAGGAAGAAAGAAAGAAAGAAAGAAGAAAGAAATAAAAAGTAGCAAAGAAGAGAAAGAAAAGCACAGAGTAAGAAAGAAAGAAAGAAAGAAAGAAAGAAAGAAAGTAGCAAAAGATGAGAAAGAAAAGCACAGAGAAAGAAAGAAAGAAAGAAAGAAAGAAAGAAAGTAGCAAAAGATGAGAAAGAAAAGCCCACAGTAAGAAATAAATAAATAGAAAAATAAGGAAGGGTAGAGTGCAAATAAGAAAACGAGAGGCATGAAATGATGAGAAAAGAAAGAATGAAAGACAGAAGCGTAAAATGTGAAAGAAAAAGCATAAAGAAAGAAAGAAGAAAAACTTGAGAAAGAGAGGTATAAAATAAGAATGAATAAAAAGAAGAAAGAAAGCAAGCAAGAAAGAAAAAAGTAGCAAAAGACGAGAAATAAATCCCACAGTACGAAAGAAAGAAAGAAAGAAAGAAAGAAAGAAAGAAAGAAATTAGTAAAAGATGAGAAATAAAAGCACAGAGTAAGAAAGCAAGAAAGAATGAAAGAAAGAAAGAAAGAAAGAAAAAAGTAGCAAAAGATGAGAAAGAAAAGACCACAGTAAGAAAGAAAGAAAGAAGGAAAGAAAAAGAAAGAAAGAAAGAAAGTAGCAAAAGATAAGAAAGAAAAGCACAGAGTAAGAAAGCAAGAAAGAAAGAAAGGAAGGAAGGAAGAAAGGAGGTAGCAAAAGTGAGAAAGAAAAGTACAGAGAAAGAAAGAAAGAAAGAAAGAAAGAAAGAAAGAAAGGAAGGAAGGAAGAAAGGAAGAAAGGAAGTAGCTAAAGGTGAGAAAGAAAAACACAGAGTAAGAAAGAAGGAAAGCAGCAAAAGATGAGAAGGAAAATCGTAGAGTGAAAGAATGGAAGAAAGAAGCAAAAGACGAGAAAGAAAAGCATAAAGTAAGAATTAATGAATGAAAAAAAGAAAATAGTAAAAGACGAGAAAGGAAAGCATAGCGTAAGAATGAAAGAAAAGAAGGAAAATAAAGAAAGTAGCAAAAGATGTGAACGAAAAACATAGAGTAAAAAAGAAAGAAAGAAGCAAAATACTTGAAAGTAAAAGCAGAGAATATGAAGATAATAAGAAAGAAAGAAGTATAAAATGAAAAAGAAAAAGCGTAGAATAAAAGAAAAAAAAATCAAAGAAAGAAAGAAGCATAAAATTAGAAAGAAAAGAATTGAATAGGAACTAAAGAAAGAAGGGAAGAAGGAGAGGAAGAAATAAAAGCAAAAGAAAGAACCATAACATTAGAAAGAAAACACATAGAATGGCTGCGATGTCTACCTGACTTCAAACGAGGACAGACAAGTTCTCTACACCACGAACAAGTGAATGATCCCAAAACTTGAAGCATGCATTCTATGCCAGTGTTTAATCTGCAGTTCTATACACCTGATTTATCCATTCCACGGATCTTTTTAAACCTTCAGAAATAAATTATATCTTTAGTCACTGAAATACTTTTCTGTTGCTACTATTATTTTCGTGATATTCAAAAAATGTCTTTGCTTTCCCGTTCTTGTCAATGTTTGGAAACAGACTTCCGTTGCTAAAGATTCTGGAAAAAATGGTCGACTAATTCTACCGCCACATAAAATACCCGAAACCTGCTGCCATGCTCTATTTTTACAAGAGCCAGATCAGACCAAAGATGGAATATTGGCTGGCATATCTGGGATGGAGCTGCACAATCCCTACTTTCCTTGACAAAGATGGAAATTGTTTACCCATTCTTGTTGGGTATGAATTATTTTCTTGTGGGGTAGGAATTATTTTCTTGTGGGGTATGAATTATTTTCTTGTTGGGTATGAATTATTTTCTTGTGGGGTATGAATTATTTTCTTGTGGGGTATGAATTATTTTCTTGTGGGGTATGAATTATTTTCTTGTTGGGTATGAATTATTTTCTTGTTGTGCATGAATTATATTCATGTGGGGTATGAATTATTTTCTTGTTGGGTATGAATTATTTTCTTGTTGGGTATGAATTATTTTCTTGTTGGGTATGAATTATTTTCTTGTTGGGTATGAATTATTTTCTTGTTGGGTATGGATTATTTATTGTAGGGTATCAAGTATTTTCCACTCTGAACTTATTTCCCACGTGCATAAATGTCACCAACCGATCACTATTCTCATGGGAAATATCCGGACCAGATCCATTCTTTAGGTCCACCAGTTCAGGCCTTTACAGCTAACACCCACCATTCTATGACAACGGAGTTGTTCCGCCCAAATACCCTCCCTATTCCATGTATAAGAAGGAAGTTCCACGCAGAAAGTTTTCTTTCCCCAACAACTGCAGGTTTGCAGAACAGACTCCCAGGTGGATGCTTCCCCGAAACACTACGATCTTAACAATTAAGGGGTCAATTATTACCTATCCACCATATCCTCATAATCTTCACTTATATTCAGTAACCATCTACCTCGAGTGGCTCTTCAGCCTTGTAATGGCTGAACATTAGTAAAAAAAAAGGTATAAAATTTCTTAAGTTACGCAAAGAAAGTTATATAATTTCTTTACAGTAAGAATCTTGCAGTTTTGTCTTTGAGAAGTGTTTTAACATAAGACGGAAACTGTAATACTGAAATCTGAAGTCGCATCGGGATAGCGAAAGAGGCCTTCCAAAAGCTAAGCAAAGTATTAAGAAACAGAAACATTTCGTTAGAAACAAAGAACTGAACTGTAATATTAGTGCTCCAATAGTGCAGTGAAGGCTGGGGAATCTCTTCACTGAGACTTAAACTAACAGAAATGCTGTTCTACAGAAGGATACTGAGAATACCATAAATGAACATGTGAGCAACGACGGAGTTTTCGAGAAAATGGAAACAAAAATGTCAGTTAGAAATTCTAGTTTATATACTTTTATATAAAAATATATATTTTTTATACTTTTAAATACTTAATTAGGATAGAGGGCTTGGAAAATTTGACGCTCACAAGACAGTTTGAAGACAATGTATCACCTGCCTAGCGAGCTTGAGGAGGCACGGCAATGGATAGCGGCTTGGATTGAGGAATCGGAGAGCCGAGTTCGAATTCCAGTTCATTACATTCACTTACGTGCTAATACCCTTGGGAAAGGTGTGAATCCTCCTCTTTTCCCTCCAGCTATGGGTAAAATAGCATGACAGACTGGGTTCTATAGCCTTGGATGGGAACTGGTCTAGGAGAAGGAAAACTCTGAATTCAAAACCTGCGGAGGGTCGTTTGGAGACCTTGTGGCACGTAGTGCACCAAGTCTCTGTAATCGGCCCTTCAAAAAGTGTGGATGGTCCTGCACGAAACCTTCACCACTATAATCAAATCTCATGTGCTATACATGCGGGTTCGTGGACCGCTTGTGAATTCCAAATTCCCATGAAACTCCAATATTGGAGCCGACTCAACACACCCCGGGTGAATGCCGTTACAAGAACAAGAGAGAGAGCTTCAGAAAATGGATGGCGGAGTAATGTTTAGGAGAGATAACAAAAAGACAAAATTTATTAAGAGCTACAAAGAACAGGAAGCTGTAGAGAGCCGTGAGAGCCAAAGTCCTGAAGGGACACGGCATATAGAAGAAGAATTCAAATCTTTTGCTGTTATTATTTAATTATTTAATTCTTTTTTTTCCTTTCAAAACAGCTTTTCAGGTTACAATGACATGGAGACACATCAGTCGACTGGCTGGTCTTTGCACGCAAACCTTAAATTATGACAACCTTTTCAAAGGGTTGATAAGAATCGTCTTGCCAGCCTTTTGAACAGCAGTATTTTTTAGGTGTCATCTCATTTCAGGATGATGAAATTTGTTTGGTCTTGATAAATGTTTCCTCATCCATGATTGCATCAAATTTTTATCACGCCCAGACGCTACTGTCTCGACTGTCGATTAATTGTCCTGCGGACACTATCTGCAATGGACGTTACTCCAACGAAGCGTACGAACATTTTAATATTGCATGAATACACTGGCAAGCTTTACTAATAAGCAAATCAAAGTAATATAGACTGGCTGGGGATCTCTGCTGATTTAAATCCAATCGATATTCTGTGGTCAATCTGCAAGCAATGGACATACAAATTATTAAAATATGCATTGGGTCATATTTCATTGGAATAATAAGGAAAAAAGTAAATAATAACGGAATTAATCGTTTTGTTTTAATTAATAAGGGTGTATTATAAATAATTTGTTTTCGAGGAATTAAATTTTGTATACTATACAAACGTGTTTCCGCTGATTTACAATTTTATATGAATATATTATAAATATCTTTGTTTTTGAGCATTTAAATTTTGCATATAATTATACGATACATGCCACAAGGTCCCCAAACAGGTTTTGAATTCAGAGTTTTCCGTCTCCGAGACCAGTTGCCAACCAAGGCTATAGTAGCCAGTCTGTCCTGCTATTTACCCATAGCTGGAGGGAGAAGAAGAGGATTCACACCTTTCCCAAGGGTATTAGCACGTAAGTGAATGTAATGGATTCGAATGGAATATATATATTTATATATAAGACCTTTGTTTCCGCGGATTTAATATTTGAATATGACTGTATTATAAAAATTTTTGTTTTAGCCGATATCTTAATATGAACGAAAATAAAGACCTGTGTTTGGACGATTTAATATTCTCATCTGAATATATTATAAAGACTTTTGTTTAGGTCGATGTAATATTTTCATCTGAATATATTATAAAGACTTTTGTTTAGGTCGATGCAACATTTTCATCTGAATATATTATAAAGACTTTTGTTTAGGTCGATGTAATATTTTCATCTGAATATATTATAAAGACTTTTGTTTAGGTCGATGCAATATTTTCATCTGAATATATTATAAAGACTTTTGTTTAGGTCGATGTAATATTTTCATCTGAATATATTATAAAGACTTTTGTTTAGGTCGATGCAATATTTTCATCTGAATATATTATAAAGACTTTTGTTTAGGTCGATGTAATATTTTCATCTGAATATATAAAGACTTTTGTTTAGGTCGATGCAATATTTTCATCTGAATATATTATAAAGACTTTTGTTTAGGTCGATGTAATATTTTCATCTGAATATATTATAAAGACTTTTGTTTAGGTCGATGCAATATTTTCATCTGAATATATTATAAAGACTTTTGTTTAGGTCGATGTAATATTTTCATCTGAATATATTATAAAGACTTTTGTTTAGGTCGATGCAATATTTTCATCTGAATATATTATAAAGACTTTTGTTTAGGCCGATGTAATATTTTCATCTGAATATATTATAAAGACTTTTGTTTAGGTCGATGTAATATTTTCATCTGAATATATTATAAAGACTTTTGTTTAGGTCGATGTAATATTTTCATCTGAATATATTATAAAGACTTTTGTTTAGGTCGATGTAATATTTTCATCTGAATATATTATAAAGACTTTTTAGGTCGATGCAATATTTTCATCTGAATATATTATAAAGACTTTTGTTTAGGTCGATGCAATATTTTCATTTGAATATATTATAAAGACTTTTGTTTAGGTCGATGCCATATTTTCATCTGAATATATTATAAAGACTTTTGTTTAGGTCGATGTAATATTTTCATATGAATAAAATGAAATAACTTTTTTTAAATCCCTTTAACATTTTCATATGAATAATTTATAAAGACCTTTGTTTTGTCGGTTATATGAATATAAAGATCTTTGTTTAGAAGAATTTAATAGCATAATATGAATTATTTATATGAAAGAAAAAACTTTTCGCGCAAATCTTACATTTTTATATGCGCTGTTAAACTTACAGACTTGTCTATGGGTTAGGTGGTCACAGCCTCGCTACTCTAGGTGATGCTATTGTGGTTCCCGAAACAAATATATTTTTACGAGGTTGAGTTGCACGCCACAAGCACAACTGATTTTGAATTTAAAGTCGTCATTCTCCTAGGCTGGTTGCCAACCAAAGCCAGTGAGCTCTGATCTTTAACACCTAACTTGGGGATAAAACAGATAAAGATGGATATGTAATGTAACTGGCTCTGATCTGGTCTCTCGTCTGCAGCCGTTCTCTAACAGACGTGCCGTTGTCTCCCTCTGTCTTTTTTATAAATACTTTCACGGTAACTGCTCCGATGAGCTGCTTTCGCTGGTTCCCAGACTTCATGAATTTAAGCGCTCAGCTAGGCTGGCATCTCGCTCTCAACCTTTCACTGTCGAAACTGTTAAATGTAGCCAACTCTTCTACTTCAATAGCTTCATGTTTCGCACCTCTCGTCTGTGGAACTCCCTCCCCTCTTCCTGTTTCCCTGATAACTATAATCTCCAACTATTCAAATGTAATGTCAATCGACGTCTCCAGATGCCCTGATCTATCCTCTTACCTTCTCTTCACCATTTCCTCTATTACTCCTCTTTGTTCTCGTTTCAACTCTCTGTAACCCCTTGTGTGCTTCCCGCCTTGCTTATTGGCTAAAGCAACGTACAGGCACACAGCTAAATCTGAAAGCCTCGAGGTAAATCTCACTTTTCGGGCCGATAACCGCTTCTTTACGTCCATATTCAATATTTTACTGTTCATTATCATTTATCTACCTTAGGATGGTTCTTCACAGGTTTCTTTTTCTTTCCTTTCCTACCATCCTTTCTCTCTTTACCCTGCTTCCTCGACCATACACCGCCTTTCATTTAAGCAAACACAATCAGTAAGCGCTCTGCTTTTTTTTTTTTTTTAAAAAAACCCATTCATTACTTCTTTTGAGTATTATTTTTTCTAAGCCGTCCGTTCTCATAAAATGTCCGATAAATTTCAGCTGTTTTTTTTTCTGCTTTTAATGACGAGTTTCTTCCTTGTTATCTTCAGTTTTCTTCGTTTTTCGTAAGAGTTCTTAGCACGTCGCTTCGAGACGTTCACCTGGAAGGATACCGTCCAGCGACCGCAAATCCTGTGATCCATCAGAGTCGTAGGGACACCGCATATCCTGTAACCGCACTAGAAGTGATGTTTCTTGGGAAAGATAGGCTGGAGGAGCCCATCCCTCTCCAGATCGGTTTTGAATTCAGAGTTACCTTCTCCTAGACCGGTTGCCACACAAGGCTCTAGAACCCAGTCTGTCCTGCTAATTACCCATAGTTCAGCACACACTACAATACAGGGTGAGAGATATAGTATGGAAATATGGAAACTCTTCACCTCTAAGGATATAGTCCAGTGATCGCAAATCCCGTGATCTACAAGGGTTTTAGGGGCACCGGATGAAATGTAACAACAGTACGAGTGGTATTTCTTGGACAAGATAGCCTGGAGGAGCCCAACTCTCTCCAGGCCGGTGTTGAATTCACAGTTACCTTCTCCTAGACCGGTTGCCAACCAAGGCTCTAGAACCCAGTCTGTCTTGCTATTTATCCATAGCTGATAGGTGGGGAGGAAAAGACGATTAGTACTTTTTCCAAGCCAATAATACAGCTCTTCCCTAAGCGTAGCTTAGATTTGGCACAAGGTCGAAAGTATGATACACCCAGTAAGGATCGAACTCACTACTCAATCGTAATTGTTCTAGAGAGACAATCTTGCTAACCATTACACCTCCTCAAGGTTCCCCCAAAGCCAATAATACATACACATAAACACGCATAAAACCAAGCACACACACAAAGGTTAACACACATGCAAATCTAAATACATAATTAGGCTTGAACTATCTACAAGGTTTATACGCTTTCACAATGTAACAATCGATACACAAAGTCGAACACACGCATGCGTGCAAAGCAATGCACATACATAAAATAAAGCCAATAACTGCGATCGCGCGAATCACGTGATCCAGCAGGCTTTTAGGGACACCAGATATACTGTAACCGCAGTAAAAGTGGTGTTTCTTGGGCAAGATAGCCTGGAGAAGCCCAACCCTCTCTAGGTCAGTTTTGAATTCAGAGTTACCTTTTAAACCCGTTGCTACCCAAGGCTATAGAACCCAGTCTGTTCTGCTAATTACACATAGTTCAGCACTCACTACAATACAGGGTGAGAGATATATTATAGCAATACGAAAACTCTTTATCTTCTTTCTAGCAAAATATTCCTTTGTCTTAATATACAGTTTCTAGAAGGCATCTTTCGCCATTTTGAAACGCGCCTTTCTATCCCTGACACATTTTTGTCGTTATTACATTAACCGGGTAGTTAAATTTATGTACATTCTTGATTATGATGATTCCAATTCGAAGCTCACACCTCTGGCCTACCGCTTTGTGTAGAACCATATATTCTGGCTTAATGGTTAGTACTTTGTTTTCGTTTTGCTACTTTCTTTTGGAGTTCTTGCAGTTTTCTTTCGGAGTCGGCTATTAACGCTGTCATCCTCGTATCTAAAGTAGCTGTTTAGTTTCGGCAATTTTCTAATAGTTTCAAATTTTGAAATAAATGATGTCAAAATTTGTAGAGTGGCTTCTTTGTTATCATTATAAACTAGTTTTTTTTTTTTTTTAATTTATCTTATCAAGTTTAATATTAATCTTATCAAACAGGGTGACTGCTATCTATGACAACACGTATTTTATTTTTATCGATTCATTCGTTCAGTATTTCTTTGTTCAGATTTTCATTCTAGTACTTGCTTAAGATTAAAAATAAATAAACCAATCATGTCGGCATCAAAATGGCGTTGTTTGATGTACATGATTTTGACATTATCTTGCTTTGCAAACGGTGTTCTATTATTATTATTATTATTATTATTGTTATTGGGTTTTTACCGACTTTCAGTTGACGTTGTTTTTTACTTTTTCCATAATGTTTTTTTTATTTTTTTGCTTTGTTTCTCTAACACTTCTCCGACCTTACCTTTTATAAATGAAGACAGATGGACCTTCCTTTTTGTCTTTTCGATTTTTGGTTTTGTTTTTCAGTTCATGCAGCATCGAAGAAGAATCCACAAGCGCAAATCAACGAGATTAAAGAATTTGCTCTTCGATTGTATTCTGAAGAATTCCTTGGGTTTGTGGTCAGCAGTCAAAGAGAATAATTTAACGTGTTATTGTTTTGTTGGATTATTTGATTTTATGAGATTTTTTTTTTCTTTCCATTCCTGGAGAATAATGAAAATGGTTATTCCAGTGGATTATTTATTATGAAGTACGGATTATCGGTAAAGGCAATATATTCTTTGCGCTAAAGGAAGACATCAGATGTTCTGAAAATAACGGCCTCAAATTATTTCCACGGAAACTCCAACAGATACTTCTTCTTCTATGTAGCGTGTCCGTTCATGATGTTGGCGATCATGGCTCACCACATCTTCCCATTCTTTACATTTTAGTAATGTATTTTTGCTGTCGTTCTCGCTCTCTGTTCTTCGATTCGTTTACAAAAGCTCGTTAAGTTGCTTACTCGCTGTTACCTTCTGTTCTAATTGCCGTCAATATGTCCTGTGAGTGTCATATTCTCTACGCCGTCTTTCCTCATTATGTATCTCAGAAATTTACACAAGCTCGTTAAGTTTCTCCCTGTTTCCCTCTGCTCCTCCTGCCTTCAATATGCCCTATAAGTGTCAAATTCTCCAACGCTTCTTTCCTCATTTTTTATCCTAAAAAAATTACACAAGCTCGTTAAGTGAGTTACTCGTTGTTTCCCTCTCCTCCTCTTGTCTTTAGTATGTCCTGTGAGTGTCAAATTCTCCAACCCTTCTTTCCTCATTTTGTATCCCAAAATTGTCAACAGTCCCTTTCTAATACTATGTCTAGATGCACCTCTTATTGGCGTTTTCCTGAAAACTTCCACATTTCTCACATGTTCTATCCATAATTTTCTCAGCATCACGGTGATCATGGCTCTTCACAACTTCCTATCCTTTGTATCTATCAGTAGCGTGTATTTTTGCCGTACCTCCCGTCCCCCGTTTTGCTTTCCATTCACACAAATTTGTTAGGCAGGTGGCTCAATTCCCACCCTTGTTGGTTTTACATTTGATATATCCTGTGAGTGTCGAATTAACCAAACCCTGTTTCCTCATTATGTATCCAAGAAATTCCAGCTGCCTCATCATGATTCTAATGATGATAAGCATTCTTTTTGGAGGTCAAAACACTAGGAATATATAAACATTTTTACAGTAAAAATACGGGTGATATATTTTCATAGTAAAAAAATTATCAGCTATGCATTTTTGTAAAAAATTAAAATGCTCCCGAGAAAATAAATATTTTGGCATTAAATGACCCATAAGGAGTTGATATGCCGCTAAACAAACATAAAAGACAAACCATTCTGCTTTCCATTCACACAAGCTTGTCATGCCTATTCTGTTTGTTTTGCCTCTGATATATCCTGTGAGTGTCGAATTCTCCAAGCCCTCTCTCCTCAATATGTGTTGAAGCAATTTAAGTTGTCTCTTTCTGATTGTGAGTATAAGCATACTTTTTGTCTCCATTTCCTTCCTCATTGCTTACGCATACTGTCCATTGTATTCTCAGCATCCTTCTGTAGATCCACATTTCTGTTTGTTCCAGTCTTCTCTTCATCTGTGAGGAAAATTGCCCAGCAATCATTTCCCATATAGAAGAAGAGATATGACATGTAATTTTAGAACAGTAATCATAGCTCTCCACAGCATCCTATAACTTCTAGATCTTAACAACATTTGTTCGTTTGCCATAATTCGTGCCTCATGTAGATGGCCTGCTGCGTTCCCATATCTTTCTTGCTGTTGATATCCCCTGTGAGTGTCAAATTCTCCAATCCTTCCTTCCTCATTATGTGTTCCTTAATTTCAGCTTGTTCGGCGTATAAGTGTCCATTTAAAAAATACCAGCAAAGCATTTTTGTAAAAGACATTACGAATGCTCCCGATAAAAAAAATATTTGCCATTAAATGACCCATAAGGAGTTGATATGCCCTAAAACAAATGTACAAGACATACCATTCCTCTCACCCCTTCTGCATTCCATTCACACAAGCTTACCATTGTTTGTTTTGCCTTTGATAGATTCTCCAAGCCCTCTTACCTCATTATATGTCCAATAAATTTAAGTTGTCTCTTTCTGATTCTGGGATAATCATCTATTTTGTTTCCATTTCCTTCCATGCTGTTTAGACATACAGTTCATGGTATTCTCAACATCTTTCTGTAGTTCCAAATTTCTGTTGCCTTCTGTTTATCTGTGAGGAAATTGTCTAGTATTCACTACCATATATGAGGATTGATATTACTTAACAGTTCAGCCCTATTTTTGCTGTTTCGTTGTTTTAATCGATATTTCGTTGTTTCAGATACTGTCCATGGTATTCTCAGCATCCTTCTGTAGAAACACATTTCTGTTGCCTTTAGTCTCCTCTACATCTGTGAGGATATTGGCCAGCGTTCACTGTCATATGGGTGGATTGATATTACGTCACTATTCATCAATTTTAACATTTTCATGTTTCTTAATACTTTACTTAGCTTTTGCAAGTCACTTTCGCTATTCCTATGCTGTTTCAGTTTTCGCTGCTACATTTTTGTCATCTGTTAAAAAAACAAAAATCTTTCCAGGCAGTTCAATTGCTGTACTCGCTTGATTTTGACGTCCCCAAGTTGAAGGTCGCCTTTTAGATTGCCCCTTTTTGCTGACAATAATGGATTTACTACTGGTGGGCATAATCCTGACAACATAAAATACACAGATGACATCGTGTTGGTGACAGTCACAGAAAAAAAAAATATTGCAAGAACTCCAACAAATACAAGGAGCACAAAAGCCCTGTTGGACAGAGTTATAAAACATTATCTTATTGTCATTATTTACAATCGGACTAATTAGATAGTTGTTGTTCTCTTAACAGCAGTTTCATTCAGACATTTTCAAGGACATGTAGATGATAATTGTTACAGCTATCATGAAGGTGAGGATAAGGGAATAAGTGTATGAAATGCCAGGAATCTGAACAAAGCATGTAATGTGAGGAAGTGACGAAGAATTCTCAGTTCTTTGTGTGCAGTGTTGTGATTTTGCGTGACGACCTTTTATGTCAACACATCAGATATATTAGATTGATTCGGGTGAGTTGAAGATACGAATTAATCCCACAAATTGATAAAATACAGAACAAGAACATTTTTTTAAAATAAATTTAATATGTTTAGATATTTCTTTAGATTTATTAGGTATTATTTAATGATTTATTCACAGTTTTTTTTTTAAAAAAATAGAATAATGGGAAGCTATTTCGATTTTTTAATTCTATGTTGCCTTTTTGTTCCTTGGACGGGTAAATGTCACGTGTTCTTGTTTTCATTTTATGGGGTTAATGTCTTTCGATATTCCATTCGGATTTCGGTGCCATATTTTCCGTTGCTTGTTAAAGCATTTAACAGATTATTAAATTGTACTTGTTTGCTTTTGATACCTCCAACTTGTTGCTCACATCAGGTACGGATTTGGCCCAGTCATAACAACATAGGTCACGATGATGAGGCCATGTAAACAAAGAAAATTACAAAAACTCCAACGGACACAGGGAAGCTGGAGGACAAAAGCTATATCACATAGAGAAAGTTTTCAGCTGTAAAACAGAATAATATTTTTCATGATATACACTCGGGTTAATTAGGATATTGTTATCTTGCGGAGTGAGTAGCTATGGCCAAATTCAAAATAATTAACAGAATTGTCCAAAAAACAGAACTGACAAAGTTTGCCATGAGCAATAACAAGAAAAAGGGAAAAGAAAAAGGTAAACAGTAATATAAAGCAAACAAAAAATATATACAAGACAAATTAAAACAAAGCAACAGTAAGATGGCAAAAAGTTCTTAAATTAAGAATTGGATTGACACACAAGACCAAACTCCGATAAAAGAACGTAGCGTTCTGACACCAAGACAAGACAGAGCGGGAATAAGTCATACGAAACCAAGAACCTGTTTATTTCATTGGTTGGGAAAAAAAATCTCATCATGCTGATGTGTGCTTCTGTCTATAAGGTATTTGGGGGCAATTTTTTTGCAGCCAGTCCTAAGGATTGAAGCCAAACTATCATAAAACCATTTTTATTGAGACATTTTCGAGAATATGCCGATGATGTCAAGGGCACAGTAAAGAAGTGTGAATGCCAGGAATCTAAACAAAAGCCTGCAATCTGATGAATTGGAGAAAAATTTCGAAAATTGTGGGAAAAATAAATAAAACCAATGAATAAAATAATAATAAAGAATAAAAAAAGAGAAAAGAAATTAATTTTCCCAGGATGCAAGAATCGGGAAGAAGATTTGGTTCATATGCGCAATTTGATGGCCCTATTTCCGGAAAAGAACGGAATATTCCTTCTTTCCACTTTCCAATGACATCGTCCGGAAAGTTTTTTTAGCAGCCCTACTCATAAAGTGAATTGGTCGTTCCAGCTCAGCACAAAGCTGACTTAAGCTCGACCTTTTTAACCATTGTTATGCTAACTTACTTCTGAATTCCAAAAGAGAACGGACATACATAAGAGACATTGAGAACTAAGTACACTATTTACGTTCTTCGAACTGTTATCCTCGATTTTATTGTCATATTCACCATGCTTCGGCCGTTGTATCTCCGGCCTTCTTCAGGTTGTATGCGTTGGAATTTCAAAGCGAACCTTTTATTTCATCGTCCACGGTAGCTTGTTCTAGTTCCACGTGCCATACCTTTTCTGCATGTCTCAATTTCAGTTATTTCCCTCTCTAAGTTTTTATTCCCTTTATGAGATGGCCAAGTGTGGAATTCACAACATTTTGGGTTAAGTCATTGAATTATTTCAACCAACGCTTTTATCCTAACTTACTTCTGAACATAAAAACGAAAATAAAAGACATTGAGAACTCTGTTTCACGACAGTCACCATAAAAAGAATTAATGTCTGTAGCAGAAACTCAAGAATTGTATTTCTATCTTCTTTGTTTACGCACTGAAAACG